TATATATATATATATATATATACACAATTAAATGTTATACTAAATTACATTTGTACGAATATATTATATTACTGTGATTAAAAGAGAGAATACAAACGATCATGTTATCCAGAAACTGTGTGCATTCTCCGGGAACATATGTAAAAGGCGCTAGTAATAACCCAACACCCCTTTCGTTAGTAGCTATATCAAATGGGATATAAATAGTTTTAACTAACGTATCATCTTTTAAGTTAAAGATCAATAGTTTTGGATTGCAAATTTGTTTATGTCCGTTTTCACCGGAATCCAAAACGAAGATATGATTGCATTTAATCTGTAAAGGTAAAAATTCTATTTCACATACTATCATCAAGCCGATTGTTGTGTGTGCATACGTAAATATGAATAATATATAATAATATATATGAATAATATATAATAAATGATTGATCATGTAAATATTATTATATATAAATACAGAATATAATAACGTCTCAAAGAAGAGATATCAATATACTTACATGTATTCGGTGAACATTGATGATACTATCACACATGCAACTCTTATTATGCCAACTCCAATCAGGATATGGGCGCAAAAGTGGCCCTCCTGGTCCTGTCGTATTAGTTACTGTCGCCAAACTTGCAGGTACACCATGGCCAACATATTTTGGTGTAGTAATAAATACTCTGCCATCTATAAAAATTTTGTTCATTAATTTACGTGCTCTACTAAAAATATAAGTATATATATTTTGTGAATTTTATGGCAATAGTGATAATATTGCATTAACACTGCACTAACAACATCGAAATTGTATATGCAATAAAATGTACACTGTATAATGTGATTATATATTACACTAGTTTAACTAATATCCTAATGAAGATCAGAAAGTTTAAAAAGCGTTGACAACCGTTTAATAATGATTTTTTTAATGTTTATACGCTTTTAAAAAAATACTTACAACATCATTGGGTTTAAAACACTTCCAGAACGCTTATAAAATATAGTATTATATATATTTTATGAAAATTTTGTAATGCTAAAGCAATTCTTTTCAGAGGAAGCTCAGTAAGCGCTGATGTACCTTCGTGCAGAGAGTTTACTGTCAAATTTGGAGATGCTCAAAAACGCTTTTCTCAACTTCGTTTTTCAAATGCTGCAGCTTTGCAATTTCCGCTTTAAGAACATTTTACTGAGAGTTTCTACTTTCAAACAAACTCTTGCAAACGTTCATTTAAGCGTTCAAAAAACATTCATGAAACTTCTTATTTTCAAGGTATACATATAATCACATTAACTTTTTACTTATTAGTAAAATCGTAGGTTAAGTTTTATGTGTTATGAGAAAAGTATTAATGTTTATAATATATATATAAAATAATTATAACTTTTTCGAATATTCTGTTATCAACTTACCATCTGCTTTAGTTGCATCGAAGAAGGCGCATAAGGAAGGGTCGTAAGATTTTGAATTTATAGCATCTTCCTTCTGCTGCTGATTCTTCCATTCATACTCACAATATTTCCACTCATGTACAACATTCAGTTCTACTCCAAAACTCACAATTACCGTCGACAGAATTATTAGAATGCACAAAGAATATCTCATTGTTATCGTAGCTACAAATAATAATGTTGTCTAAACAACCTGGTTAAAGTTTTTGCGACAAATTACATTTATACGTAATAAATACAATGATTTACACTAAATAGCAATTTTTTTGAATATTTTTGCGTTTGTTTAAATAATTAGATCTGTGATTACTTTTTGGATTGTAACAACAAAAATAATTTACCTGATATGTACTGATGTAGATAGGTATTTCGCAAATGCGACTACGACGACTGCTTGCTATTTATATTCTTTTTTAAAGAAAAATATTTTGACAAAATCTGATTATACAATTTGCAATCGTAATTAAAACCTCATTAAAATAAAATAGGTCCAACTGTAGGTGTGAATAATTTAAGGCACTTAAGATGTTAGCATAAGTATGTACGTATGTATATTTATGTAAATATATATGTATGTTATTAGTACAACTGTCAGTTACGAAAAATGACGTATACGTTTTTGCAGATATATGTGATAAGATAAAATATAATCGAATTGAATGATACATATATACATGTTTAATATTTATTGTAAGAATTTTAACCTTGACCCCGATTTTTTTTTTTTTGTTAGAACAGACTTTCATTTTAATTTTATAGTCCAATATTTAGTATCTTAGCGCATTATTCATGTTTGTCTTTTAACAAATTTAATGAAATATGAATAATTTTATCTTTTGACAAATTTAATGACAAAACATAAATATTAAATTATTACTGATATAAGACATTAGAACATCTGTGCATTCAAACCACATTAAAATCTTTTTATTTCTCAAAAATTCATTAGTATCTTATAGCTTAATTAGGATAAACCCACTGGTTGTAGATCAGTCTTTAAAAAAAAATTAATATTTTTATCCAGAATAATATTGAACAATTTTACTCCTTATTTTAATCCTTAAAATTAATTTTTGATAAGATTAATTTAAGGTTTAAAAAGATTATTCATATTAAGAACAACAAAAAATTCATTGGTCAATACCAATAATCACAGAGATGATGACATGGCTACGATTTCTGAATCTAGTAACACGAAAAAGAGATTTTTTTTATACTTCTGTTTATAAAAAAATGTTACTAAATCTGCTATGTACATAGTAAATAAATACGTTTTTTTTTAATGTTACAGAGTCATTAACAAACTTAAGAAATTTATAAAAATGCATAAAAATGAGAATGAATATATGTTCTATAATAACGTAGATAATAACGTATAGAATCGGTTGCAAAGATTGTAACGCTTCTTACATGGAGCAAACGAAAAAAAAACTTAATACTAGAATTAGGGAGTACATGAACAATAAAACTGGATTTATCAAAACATTTACTTATTACAAATCATAAATTAAAATTATTTTATCATACCTTTCTATGGAATGGAAAAAACTAAAATATTAGACATGGAATCAAATTATAATAAAAGACTAATTTCAGGGATGTTATAAAAGAGAATAATGGAATTAATGTGAAAACTAATACCGAATCTTTTGACGAAACTTATGTTTGTTTATTAGATTCTTTTTAAACTATATGGATAGATCCTTTAATTTATACATAAGCAATCTTTGATATTCTCTTACCATTTAACATCAGGCGTTTGTGCGATAAATTATATTTCTTGTTTAATATATATTATATATTACATATGTTTCAAATATTTCTTGTTCACAATCTGTAAGTTGCTAAAAATTTGTTAAGTTGCTACAAAAAAAGACTTGATATCAACAATTGGTGCGAAGTTAAATCTCAAATAAATGTAATCCGGATAATATGTATTATTCGTATAAAAGATTTGATATGAACAAAATTGGCGCCAAGTTAAATTCCACATAATTTTATGTATCATTTGCAAAAAAATTTGATATCATCAACATGCTTAAGTAATATGTATCTTTTTTGTATTATTAAAACTGTATAATAAATTAATATATTTTGACTCGCGTGTACATTTTTATCGGTTTCTAAAAGCGCTTATTAAATTATAATATATATCTCGTAAATTGTAACATAAACGTAACTCATTTTAGTAATAAAATCAATAAAATCAATAATTTTTTCTGACTCATATGTAGGTACATTATCAACTTTTATTCACTTATATGCACGTATAGACATCTCACTAAAATAATTCACTTTCATATAAAAAATTGTAAATGACATTTGCATAGATATTAATAAATGTCTATTATTTAATTTTAAGATGTTATATATATTACGGGTTTTCTTAATTTGTTATGATATTATGCGTTTAAAACGCAATGATTTTCTAACGTAGAAATTAATATCTTTTATTTACACGTATTACGTGTATACTTTTATAATGTTCGAATATTATTATTCATAATTTAGACGTATATAATTGAATATAACAATTACTAAATAAATTAGATATTTTAAGTTAAGTTATAACTAAACAATATAAATTCTCTTCTCTCTCTCTCTCTCTCTCTTTCTTTCTCTCTCTTCTCATTCTTCTCTGATTATATACATATATCTGTGCAAGAGATGCATAAAAGATAATAAAAGTACATATTTGGATAGAGAAGTTAGGCGAGAAAGTTCGATTTTTGGCGTTAGGAAATTAATGTATCTGAGCGTCGTGACGGCGGTGGTGTTGCATCTTATTTGCCGCCGAAAGCAAATGTGCGATTTCAAATTATTGTCATATTCTACATCTCAGTCCACATGATATGATATCGTGTCTTGTATAAGTTATTTGAGCGCAACTATAATCAATAATTATTTTAATAATTAAATATATTGAATATTTGTATTTAAAATAATAATTAAACAAAAGTGGAAACTTAATATCTGTATGAATGATTGAAAAATGATAAAAATAAATAAAGCAAACTGAGATGATGAGATAAGATAGGCAAGAGTCGCGTTTCTCGAGGTTGAAAATCTCAGAAAATACATCCGGAGTAACAGGAGCGCACGATAGCGAGGAGGTGAGGCTAAGAATCGGGTATCAGCTTACCTCCTCGCTATCGTGCGCTCCTGTTACTCCGGATTTATTTCTCGAGATTTTCGGCGCACCGAAAATCCCGAGAAATAAATCCGGAGTAACAGGAGCGCACGATAGCAAAGAGGTAAGGTATAACTTCCAACAACCTCCTCACTTATCCTGCTTTGCTAATACTTCAGGCGATTTTTCTTCAGAGATTTTCGATGCCGAGAAACATGATCCTTGTCTTATCATTCAAATTTACCATATTTATGACTTACAGTACTTTTATTATTTTTTAAACTTTACACTGATGCGACATATTTCTGCTTTTGTGTAATTATTAATTAGTAAGCAAGAGATATTCAATTATTTAGTTATTAACATAGTGTTTAATTAGATTTGTTCAAATAATTAATAAACAATCGTGAGGAAACGGATAATTCAAAACGAAAATCAAATATTCCATTATTTAATTATCATTCAATTTTTTGTTTGTATAATAATTTTGTACGTAGTGTTATTGCACATAGTTTTTCATATACTTTTTATACATATATATATATATATATTTTTATATATAATTTTATATATAAAAAGTAAAACTATTTTGATATTTGTGTACAATATAAATATAGTATTGTTGGAACGTTGTTTTAATACTGCAAGAATAATTGTTGATTAGATATATCACATCCATTAAAATTCATGGTTCGTGGATCATCGAAGTAACAGTTTCCATACGATTGCAAAGATCAAGTAATACTAAATGGGATAAAGGATGGATGATCATTTGTGGATTTACCACGAAAGTAATTCCATGAATTTGAATTTAAAGGAAAACATTTTTTTTAATCTTAATTTTGTCGTATTTTTATTTTGAAATATGGTGCTAATTAATAATATTAATTTTAGAAATACAATTGGATTAATCAATTTTATAGCTTTTAATTTTCTTAGCAGTATATAGAAATAATTTGTATATATATATATAATTGTATATACAAATCGTATACACTGTGAATTATAATGTGTCAGTATGTTCAAATGTAGAACTTACATCATTAATTTCATAACAGTTATTAAAAAATATAATTAAAATCTAATTACAATATTGAAATATAGGTACGTATTATATAATTAGACAATAGATATAACGCAACGAAATATGCGTCATTTAAGATGTCGCAAAAATTTATTAAAAAGCTAGTTAATTGTAGTAAGTTAATTGTAAGAAGATTTTATTTCGACGAACGAAGGTCGAAATGAGTTTCAATAATGATCAAAAAACAAGTCAAAGTAATTAGAAGAATATATATTAGACGAAGAGAAAGTATGTAGCAACGTAAACTGACGAGCGCGTCTTGTTAGAAGCTCGAAAATCGCGCCGATACTAGAACAGCATGTCGAGCGAGGAGGTCGCAAAGTCGTAGCAGTGGAATCCTACTTGTTATGCCCCCACCTCATGTACAAGGATAGCTTCTAAGCGTAAACCAATAAGAGCGTTAGCAGGTTCCGCTTACACGCGGCAACAAGCTCCCGCCTATTGACCAATGACCGCGATGCTACGCGGCGGCAAAGTGGGGAGATGCCGTCGCTCAGAATACCTCTAATAATTTCCTGCGCTTCTAATAATTATGTTCATTTATATGAAGTTTCTGACGCCAAGAAACTCGATTCTCTCGCTTAACCTTTCCGTCCGAATATATATTTAACAATTTACGTTCTAAACTACGAATGTATAATTAAAGTTTTTATTATTTATTTAATTGTAATATAATATCCGATTTATTTGACTATTGTTTATTAATTATATGGTATATACATATAGAAATAATGTTTTTAAATGCAAATTATCCCGTTTTTGTCACAGAAACTAACTATAGTATATTCTGTTTGAAATAAGCAAGTAGATTTTTAAGTAAAAAAGTGAATCAATTTATAGAGCTCTTCATTACCCTGCCAATTATAATCGATGGTCCTCTTTTCAATATACTTTCCAGCATGGATCTTCAAAGGACGTTATAAAGATAGAAGATATCCTACGTCTTAAAAACATCTCTTAAAAGGACGATCCTAAAGACGATTAGTCATATTGAAAATAGCACTTACACACAGAAGATTGTATTTATTATTTATTACTTTATATACATATTTACCATTCTTATTTCTTAATAAAACTTTACAAACACATTTTATAAGTTATTGTGTCATTATACCTCGTATTTATATGCATTATTTGTAAATTTTTCATGAGCCGTACATACTTTTTCTTTCTCTATAAGTAGCCATATGGGATATACACCACAAATGCAAGGGTCTTAAAAAGTTTATTTTTAATATAAAAATAAATTTAATCTATATTTCAATATTGTAATTAGATTTTAATTAGATTTTATATTTTTTAATGTTGCACACATTAGAACAACAACGATAGCCGTTTTATTTTATGTAATACATTTGTCTGTCAAAAATTATTACTCCTCGAAAAAAACTAATGTATCAAATGAAAAATTAAAACCCAGATGTTACTGTCTTAACCCTCTCTAATCAAAGTAAATTCTATTAAATTAAAAGGTAAAAAGCAAGTGTTATTATCTTTTGTTATTTACTTAACACTAATGGTACGTAATGTATGTATCATTCGTATAAAAGATTTGATATCAACAATTGGCGCGATATTTTTTCATATAAATATAAATAAAAAATTGAAAAGATACTGTTTTGAAGATATTCAGAACTATTGAAAAATTTGTGCCAGAAAGAAGTGCTTTTTTATTTTCAATACATAATGCTCGTCGAAAACGACCGGTATATTATATGCTATTATATGCAAGAAGACTATTTCAAATGAGATAGTAGTTAAGGAGAGAAAACTGAGACAAGTGTTATTAGAATTTTAATCTTTGCATATATACGTATTATAAGTGTTATAAAATACATATTTCATATAATACATTTGATTTAACGCATCAAATCCAATCTGCGCACTTTATATGCTTTGGATATATCCCAAAATTTTTCTATATTTAACATAATATAAATTTAAATAACGTATGTAGTAGTAATAATAATATTTCGTAAAAATGTCTGTTAAAATATGGAAACTAATACACGTGTTTTAAGAAATCGAATCCATTTTCTTCTGTATTTCTGTTAAATCCATTTCGAAATAATAGATGTTTACTTCATTCAGGTTTACAGTACCAAGAACGAAACGATGAAATTTATCTGATAGACCTATCAACCTATTCCAATAATATGAAGATTTTAGCGAACTTATAGCTTGAAGTTTTTTATCGTCTTGTGCAAGTATCACCTAAAAATTAATATTTTTTTTACAGATAATTATAGTAACGATTAAATTAAACAATTGTTAATAAGATTAAGAATTATCTATTATCGCTTTAAATGTAAAGAATAATTGCATTTGGATATCTTACCGTGTTTTTGTCAGGCTTTTTAAAAACATTCGTTCCTAAAATAGCATTTCCATCAGTATCACTGTAAAATATTGAATGTCCTGCTGATGCGATTTGTCCTGAATCACTTGGTATTTTAATTGCGATTTTAGTGTTTTTATTAGCCTCTTCTTTATTTGGACATTTTAGTAATGATTTGATTTTTATTTTATAAATTTTCATTCCTGGCGAAGTAACATAATAAAGTTCTAAAATATAAAAATACAAACAAATCATAGATTAACGAAACTACGCTACTGATTATTTGCAAGGAAATCTTCTAAGTTTTATAAATTGTTATAAACGTGCATTAACACAAATGTTAATACATAAATATTAATAAAAAAAAAATAGAAACGTAAATGTATAAATATCAGATTTTAATAGTGAAGTTAGGATTCTTAACACTTGTGATGTATGATTTGTAATATTTGTTAAATATTACAAATTACATTTAAAATAATATTTATTGCGTTAGAATGCAAGTACTTACCATCATAAAAAGTCACTGCACTGAGGATACCGCCATCATAAGGAAATTTTTGATTTGCTATAGAGACCAAATTTTCGGTCGGTATCATGTAATCGGATTCGACTCTGCACATACTTTTTACAGATGAATCATACACTACTAAACCTTTACCTTGTATATCAGCCATGAATACCTGTAAATGTTCATAAATATTTATACGTATTTATATTAAATTTATTATTATTAAATTACTTAAAACAAAAAAGTACAAGATGTATAGTTAAATGTGTAATTAAATAATATTTGTCTGGACGAACATGTATCTATTATTACGATTTACAAGAGAAGACACACTAACAATCATTTCATGCAGGAACTGCGTGCATTTTTTGGGAATATAAACGAAAGGCGTTATTAATGATCCAAAACCCGTTGCATTACTAGCAATATCAAATGGAATATAAATAGTTTTTACTAGCGTATCATCTTTTAAATTAAAGATCAATAACTTTGGATTACATATGTGGTCAGGCCCAATTTTACCGGAATCCAGAGCGAAGATGTGATTGCATCGAATCTAGAATGAAAGCAATAACTCTAATTTTATATATTATCAAACTGACTACAATGTGCGCATGTAAATATGCATTACATACATAAAATAAATTTATTGATCATTTAAATATCATTATAAACAAATATAAGCTATGTGATAAAAACTTGAATGCGCGCGCGCGCAAAAAATTGATACTTACGTTTACTCGTACCACACTTACAATATTATCGCACGTACAATTACTATTATGCCAACTCCAATTTGGATATGGTCGCAAAAGTGGCCCTCCTGGTCCTGTTTCATTAGTTACTGTCGCCAAACTTGCAGGTGAACCAGGACCCAGTTCTCTCGTAGCAGTAACGAATATTCTACCATCTGTAAGAATCTCATTTGTAAAAGAAACTTATGTGTTATTAAAAGGTATGTTTATTTAGCCAATTTCATGACAGTGGTATCTCTTGCATTAACACCATCAAAGTACATTTATTAAAACGCATAGATTCATGTAATATGATTAATGATTAAATACTATAAGTTAAGCTTTTGCTTAGAAGAATATTACTGTAGAAAATTATTGTAACTTTTACAATTATCATTCATTTACCTTTAGCTTTGTCTACATCAAATAATGTACACGCAGAACGATTGTAAGTGCCAGAATTTATCGCGTCTTTCTTCTGCTCATTACTTTCCCATATAAAGTCCACATATTTCCATTCATATATATAATTCACTTTAATTCCAAAAGTCACAGTTGCTATCCACATAATCAGCAAGATACACAAAAGATATTTCATTTTATCAAGATACACGTTTGTCTTGGAAGTTAAAATTACGAATTCCAAGGAAAATATTGCACAAAAATTCTTTTTATTAAATGTATTGAAAAAATATCACTTATTCTATTAATAGTGTTGTTATTTTGCATTTGCTGAGATTATATCATTTTGTAATGTAGTTGCAGCAAAGAAATTTCAAATAAGGTGCTGCCAAGAATTTCACAAGTTTGCCACACACTGTTAAGGATTATTCTAAAAATCGACTTTGGTGAGTTCAATTTTTTTGTTTTTATTGTTAATAAAATAGATTTTGCTGCAGCTTAATGTCCCTCTTTGATTTTTGTAATAAATTGCATTTTACGATTATGAGATGCAATAAGTTGCTTTGGACAGCAATTTTTATTTTAAGGCACATACAGTGTATAAATGAAAGTGAAAGTTTTTACATCTAATTGTTGAATATAACAAGTTGCAATAATGAGGAAATTTAAAAAAATGCGTGCATTTTTTAAAAATTAGGTATAACTTTTTGGATTGCAACAGTATAAATATAACTACTACAGTGATGAACATTTATGTCACAAATGTAACTATGATGGCTTGCTATTTATATATTTTTTTAAACGTAATATATAAAAATGTCTTTAAAACACCTCATTATTCTATCGATAATTAACCTCAATAAAGGTCCTATTATAATAGCGTTAGTATAACGTCTATAGTGCAACATTTTTTAAACTTGCATAACAACATAATAATAACATTAGCATTATCTTACCAGTAAGGCCATCAGGAACGAACAATGTATTAACTATTTTTTTTAGGTGTATAAAGTGAGACTAGTAAAAGTAATTTATTATTATTTTTCTTTGTTAATAATTGCGAATTGAACAATATATGTCTACATATATGTGAATATATTTAAAGTACTTATCGCAAAGCTTCCAATCTCTCTGTCTGACAGAACCGATGATTTTTACCTAAGATTTCACGTGGCCTAATCATATTTTAGCATATATTTTACTTTTGTCTTGTAACGCAAGAGCGATAGAGAGAGAAAGAAAGAGAGAGAGAGAGAGAGAGAGAGAGAGACAAATCATAAATATCAATACTGATACAATTAATAATTTTTACTAAAGCGAATAGCTTATAGACGACAATATTATTTAAAAGCATTTCTAAATATTAGATTTCTAATTCTACTTTAAATGCATTATTCAAATAAGTAGACAAAACATTATAAAAGAAAAAATAAATTTTAATATTTCGAAGCTTTAAAAAACCACAAAAGTTTTATCAAAATTGTTATATCATTGTAAGGTACTATTTATTTCTTTTAAAATCTATTTTGAATGGATAACATACGATATTTTTAAAACGAGATATACCTGTTAGTAAAGAGGTATGTCATACTTTAAAGTTGTATCTCCTGCTTGTCTGTTGTTGTTTAGAAATAGGAGAATGAAGATTTTTCCATACTGCCTCATTTTGATTTATAAATCTTTATATTTTTTTATTCACTTTAAGTATACATTTTCCTTATTCATGCTATGTAACTTTTACTTAAAATATTTTTCAAACTATGAATAACTTTCAAATAATTTTAGAATACTACTAAGTACAGTGAATTATGCTTCATCTTATCATACATGCTACATATAATAAAAATTTGATATAATAAAATATCATATTATAGATCAAATGTTATATGATAAACTGTACATTCTTATGTATGTACTTTTATTTTATCGGAGGTCGTCAAAACATAAAAACCAATCGATATTAATGTTGCAAGTGTTATCAATACAATATTGTTTAATAACTTTGATTGAAAATATCAATAATCAATATTAAACAAAATATTTCATTAAAGAGATACGAGCATTTACGAAATCTGTTACTTCAATGATTTTTTGAAGAACAATATGTATATTTCAAAGTCAAATACTTAAAATCTTCGTTGTTAACTTAAGTATTTTCTCTCTTTCAATATTTATATTTAATATATTTTTTCAATAAATTAATTTTAAAACTTCATAAAAGTTCTTATATTTTGAGAAAGCTTTTAAATAAAATATCAATATTGTCTGTTTCGCTATCCATCAAAAGATATTTTTTCTTGTCTAAATTATTTACCCTTGCATTTTGTTTTCTTAATCGCCTAAAAAATATCTCTAATAGTCTTTATTATCTTTTTTTAATTATATTTGACGGTTTAAATAAATGTGTTTTAGTAAATAAAAAAAAATATACTAAATTAAATACATTTTCGATAATTATCTTTAACTTTTAAATTTTATATATACAGAAGTATAATAGTAACGCGTGCGCGTGTACATATTTATGTCAATGCCTTTAAACATTTGTAATTCAATGCCTTTAAGCCTTTGTTGATCAAAAAAATTCTGTTTGTCTTATTCGATTCACTACAGAAAAGTCTATTTTTATAGCCCTACTCTAATGTAATTCAATTTAAAGTCGCCTTAATTCTCTCTCTTTTATAACATCATCAGTGTTGTAAATTTTTCAATGAAATTTGAAAATCATGTTTTGCATTCAAAAAAAATATAAGAGATATAAAACAAACAATTCTTGTCTCTAAAATAGAGAAGTTTCTTAACTTCTTAAACTTAATTTCCTTAACTTAAATGTAGACGAGGTAACTTTCTTGAGTTATAGCCTTTTGTCCTACAGACATCATCTAACGTCCGCATACTATTTTAATTTCATGGATTACGAAAGCATAAGCTGGTAAAGTCAATTTAAAGTCAATTTTTATATTTTAGGACTGCATTAAATACACTTTTAAGATGTTATAAATCAATTACAGAAAGAAGAGAGAGGTGTCATTTAAATAAAAAAATTGTGAAGTTATTACATAAGACAGTCTTAAACATAAGAATAGACTATGAATAGCGGCCATATACATGTAATGCGTGCAAAAATTATATAAGTCAGATTCACAATGTTATTTTTGGAAGTTTTATCATAAAGCAATTAAAATAGGAACAATGTTTTTACAATATTGTAACATCTTCATATGATTTCATATAATTTCTAGAAATAAACAACGATACTAGTAAAAAGTTTAATGTAATTATTAATTTTATGTTTATGGTATAACATTTTGTTAATAAACAACTGTATCAAAAATTAATAATTAATTCTTGTGAACATTTTAATTATTATATGAGTTGAGTAACTCGATCAATTCATTTTATATTTTTAAATATGGCATTAGAATTTATTATTGTATTGCATTAGTGTTCCAAATATTTTTAAAATATCATAAACTTTTGCTGGAACACTATAATTATTATCATCAAAATTATTATAATATTTTCATCGTAACAATATTTTTTATATTGCTTTATAAGCTTTATAAAATAAAATATTGTCTATAACTCTAACAAAAAAAATACTTATTTCAATACAGATGTATATCCTTACGTGAATTATTTCGAGTAAATTGGAAATGTAATTTACATTTGAAGATAATTAAAAGCAGATCCGATCGTCACATATCGTATAAAATGTTTTATCCGTATACATATTTATTACATATTTATTACACAAAAATTATATCATTATATGAAAGTGATAAAGTTGTGTTATCTACTTTCTTTCAAATTTTTCAAGTTTATTTTAGTTTTATACGATAAGAATATCAGAAATGTCCTGAGTTAAATAACGTTAACATCTTCTGATTAGAGACAAAATACAAGTTGCATAATAGTAAAATACAAATTATAAAAATAGCAAAAACGACAGGCTAAGTGTCCCATAAATCAGATATTTCTCTTTTTTCTACATCAATTTACATATTTGTATATTCAATGGAGGATATATAAAAGTGGCAAGCATTCTCGAAAGTCCAGCCAGTTTTCTTTGGAGAATTAAAACGCGCAAGTTATTCAATTAATATCGGATAAAAAAATAATTGAAAACAATATCACAAAACTACTTGAGCAGTAGAGGTAAATAAAATCTTTTTAAAACATTTCCCTAATTTTACGGATAGATTTGTATTTACAGTGCGATATTCTAACCTTATAGACATACAATAAAGCTCCGCAACACAGATTTTTGCACGTTACATAACGCATAAGATATAAGCAACTAAAGAATATAAAATAAAAGACTCTGCTCGGTTAATTTTTTAAGCCTTCTACAATGTGCTCTTTGTTTTCTATTTTTTGCTTTTTATCACTTTTTATTTCTTATCTTTTTACCTGCAGCTTTTTGTTTTCTGTCGCCCGAAATAAAATTTAACAAACTTCAAAAGAAACAAGCAACACTTAAAAAGAAACACAATTGTCGATAAAACAGTCGCAAAAAAAGAAGAGACATGAGGTAAAAAGCAAGAAACAGGAAGCAAAGAACAAATTGTAGATTAAGTTTTAACCTTTATCCATAAAACTAATTCCATAATTATTCCTTATGTGTTATGCGTTCTGCAAAAGTATTTAGGCTCTAAGACGCGCAACAAATAATGGTGCTGTAATCTTTCGAGTTTGCTTACATAATCCATGTGACATAATCTATAAAAACAAAACCGATTAATTATATATTGCAGAATTAATATATATGATATGAACATTATATCGCGACACAAAAAATACAGCTCATATATTTAGTTTAGTATTTCCGCTGATTTTACTCTGTTAAGTATCATTACTTTTGTCGCTATCGATTAAGATTATAAGTAATCTCAAAAAGACAATACAACGGAAACATTCGGGACATTTTATTTATTCAACACATAATGTTTCTAATCGTGGTTTTAAAAAATAAAATTACACATCGTATCACATGACATATTGACTTAAAGAATCTAATATCGTCAAGAGATAAAATGATAGAACATCGATCTGAAAAATATAACGTCAAGAGATAAAACAGTAGAACTCACAGTCAAGCGATTATTTTAAAGTTTCAAAAATTTGCATTTAATCTCATTTCACGTAACCAATATTAATAGTTGAAATATCTAATGTAATGTTGCAACTAATGTAATAATATTTGTAATGTAAAAACAGTAATAAAACGGTATTTTGTAATATAAAAAAATATCAAAGCGAAAGTCAAAATATATTATTAAAAAGTATATATTTATAAACGTCATAAATATATTATAACAAACACGGGTAGACCTTTTAATGTTGTTCTCATCCTTATTCTTACAGTATATATCCATTATGAGCGAAATAAAAGTACAAGTAGGTGAAGGAAAATTGGTCGGAGTCGTCGTAGATGGCTACAACGTTCGTTATTTTGCCTTTCGCGGAATACCATATGCCAAACCTCCAGTTGGCGAACTTAGATTTAAGGTAATAAATTATTTACTAAGTTAATTAGTGCCTTGTCGTTATACAAGTACGCAATGTAATTAACAATAAAATAAATAGGATAAACTTTAGCTGATTTGCCTTAAAATTAGAATTAATTAAATTTAATTAGATTGAAAGAAAGTCTTAATTTTCTTCAAATGTTGACGAATTAATTATGCGATAAGAAAAAACTTATAATCTTTAAAATACATATTTTTTTTAACTAAATATATCCCGTTAAATTCATTCATTTATATATATATTTTTTACATATTAGGATCCAGTACCAGCGGAACCATGGTCTGGTGAAAGAGACGCGTCAAAGTACGGAAACATAGCTGTTCAAGTAGAGTTTGTCACACACAAAGTTATAGGAAATGAAGATTGCCTTTATTTAAATGTATATACCACAAAAATCGAATCCTCGAAAAAGCGTCCGGTAATGGTATGGATACACGGTGGTGGGTTTATTATAGGTTCCGGTGATGCAGCTTGGTACGGTCCTGATTATATCGTGCAAAAAGATGTAGTACTGGTTACTCTAAATTATAGATTAGGCGTTCTAGGTATGTAATTTATTATTTTGATGTTACTCTCTGTATGTTAATCTCTCGCATTTATAGTCTTATCTAATCCTCGGAGGATATGAACACACATTAGATTCATAGTTTTAATGTTTCAAATAATTAGTGTTTTACGTTAACAAATTACTATTAAATATTAATATAGAATGTAAAAATAAAAAGTTAAAATAAATATATTTACCTATTATCGAGAATATTAAATAAAAGTAAATATTCTTTTTTATTTATATTACGGCAAATATTTATAAAATCGAAGTAAATACCTTGAAAAGCAAAAGATTATTTACAAATCATAAAAAAGAATATAGAATTATATTTAATTTATTAACTCAAAAACGAATATTTGTGTTGTTTATTTTTTGATCATTTATTTTTAGCCATAATATATAAACATTATAAGAGTAAAAATTAATATGATTTCAGGTTTTCTAAACCTCAACGATAAAATGGCAGCAGGTAATCAAGGTCTGAAAGATGTAATCTTAGCATTAAAATGGGTTCAAAAAAATATATTAAAATTTGGTGGAGATCCAGGAAATGTCACTATTTTTGGAGAAAGTGCTGGTGGAGCCATTACACATTTTCTAGCTCTGTCTCCATTAGCTAAAGGTATAGTCTACAAACTTCTCAATACAAAATTCTTATTTTTTGTTCTATTTTAAATACATTGATAAATTTGAACTTGATTTAACAGAAACAGCTGAATAAAAAAATTATTATTTTATTAAGTTTCTATTTTATTAATAAACATTT